GTAATCCACCCATTCATATGGATGAACTGATAGACATGCTCTTCATTTCATGGTCTGACAACTGCTTAAGACCATCTGGAACATGATTGTCTTTCACACTGCTGTCTCCTCTGTTGAAACACAATACCCGCCATCTCACTGTGCTAAATTTTTTTCACATGGAGAAATTCAACTACACACCTTTGCATCATATGCACTTCAGACACCAGTTTGTCAGATTGCCCCTCTGCTGCCATCTGTTGCACAAAATGTAACAGAATAAAAGTGGAAAGGTTCAATCTTAGCTAATACCCTAACATCCACTTCTGATGCCAAGGGCCAACACAATAAAATAGGAGGCATTACTTTCAGATCTGCTCTCATATTAATTGAATATGCCAGTGTTGTAAAGGAAGAAATTAGAGGATGGGACATCACCAATAAATACATGTCACAAGTGGTACTACACGTCAAAGAGAAAACAAAAACAGAATTTTGTATTTGGAATGGACACTAATCTGAGTGAAATAAAAACAGGCTAACACAATCCATACTAAAATGCTCCAAAACAAACAATTAAAAGAAAGAATGTATCCTAATGCATAAATACTCAAGGTACTGTTCATATGAGACTGAACTTAGATAAGTAATTAATTACAGAATCAAGAACTGTTGTACTTTAAATCCGGTAGTCATAAGTTCATTATTTACTTCACATACAACCTGAAAGAAGGCCAAACCACCCTTGAAATAAATATTAGTAAAACAACAAGACAATCTGACACTGAGCAGAAATTAATCTTGTGTCTTTCTTATTTACTGAGTTGATGGTTGACTACAAAGGCTAAGCTTTTTCTATTTTGTTTTTTTTTTTTTTTATATAAATTTTTTTCTACTTCTTTCTATATATAATTTTGCAGTTGTTGCAGCTAGAAGATTTTATCATGCAACACTCTTCCCTTCCCTAAGAAGAAAACTGGGAGGGAAGAAAGAGGAAAAAAATGTGACTGAGATAGGAGAAACTAATTCATTAAAAGGATTCTGAGATAGTACAGACTAATTAAGAGCAATAAATCAAAACAAAGCAAAAATAAAAATGGAGGAGAGAAAGAAGGTCCTTCCAAATCATTATCGACAGGCCCTCCATCACTTCCCTCCTGGGAAAGACCAGAGAACACTTTCCCTATTACTTGGAATCAGAAAGCATGTAGAGGCTGACTCCTGGGAAATGCAGTACATCCTAGAATATCTTCCTTTTTAAGTCTCATGTGAGACTGCTAGTGATAAACAGGAAACATAGCTCCATAGTGCACTATGTCTCTGCACCCAACAGCCTATTGCATGAAGTTATGAAATGGAATACTGATAAAACCAGACAGCAGTGAAATTTACACATAATTAAATCCATTAAAACACGACTGGGCAAAAGTTAATTGTAAACAAGCAATCCTTACAAACCTTTCTAGATAACACCATGTACAAACAATTGATATATTCTGATATAAACTGATTCTGAAAAGAATCAGTGCTCCGTAAAGTGCACTTTTTTCTTTTTTTTTTTTTTTATGATAAATATTAGGTGAACAGTAAGTAAGAAGAACAAGATGTCACACAGACACAAAGACTGAAAGATGGACTGAAGGATATAATGTGTATTGTAATTGTTTTCCTTTAAACTTTCAGAAATTATTGTGAAAATCATAATTTTAGGGAAAAAAAAAAAAAAAAAAAAAAAAGCTTGAGAATCCCTACTGTGAGTACTTATTTAATTTTATCATATTGTGAGTACATATTTAATTTTATAATGGGTCAACTTGTTGGATAATCTTAAGATCAAAGTCATCATTTAGTGAATGACAAGACTAAAATATTGTAATGGAAAGCTAATAAAGAAAAACTACTCCATCCCTCAAGAAAATTAAGTACTAAATTTGAGGATGCAGATATAGGCAATAAATACCCTTCTAAGAAAATTTACTTGAAAGTACACTAATAATAACTGTTGCAAATAAAGATCTGATCACAAGACAAAAAAAAATAGCAGGTAGATTAGAAATTATATTTTCAAAGAAATGATAAATCCTTGAAAAATATTCATTAAATAACAAAAGAGAAGCTACAAAATTTGTTCAAGAATAATATGACTCTCTGATAACTGTTGTTTTCATGCTAGCTTTACATTTACATGTACTGCTCATGCATAAATAGTCTGTGGAGTCTCCCATCTTGGTGAACTTCAAAAGCCACCTGGACGTGTTCCTGGGCAGTCTGCTCTAGGCAACTCTGCTTAAGCAGGGAGTAGGACCAGGTGACCTCCAGAGGTGCCTTTCAACCTCAAACATTTTGCAGTTTTGTGATATTTTGCTGTACCAGGATGTGTAGTTCTCCTGGCTGCATGGTCAAATTTAGCCACAGTGTTAATTGTCAGTGGCACAAAAGTGGGGATAATCAGTACAAGGTCAGACATTTGTCATATACCATGATCTGAGGGGAAAAGTTAAAAGTCAAAGTATGCTGGGATCATTTGATATAAATTGTCTTCTCATGTCCAAACACCAAGATAAAAACTGGACAAATTTGAGAAAGAAATGATAAAAGGAATTTTCAATTGTATCCAAGGCCAAATTGCTTGACCAAACTATTCCCATGCCACTTCCATAAACAAAAATAATTGGTTTTCTCATAACTATCTGCATTGTATGATTTCTGATATTCTGCAAGAATACCATGTTCAAAGAGCTTTTTTTCCCTCCATCGCTACTATCAACATTACAGTTTCATCATCACCTATTTTCATGTTCTTCATGCAAAATTTAATAAGCCTTACGGGCTACTTTCACTATTCAAAATGTGCAACTGACACTTAAATGGAATTCGCCTTATTCTATCCAGATGTCAAAGTAGGAAAAATTTACTGCAACTTATGTGTATATGTATATACACATAAGTTGCAGTAAATTTTATATACATATATATACATATATATGATTGTTTTGCTCTCCATAATCTCCTTGCAAACAGATTTGGACAAGAAATGCTTATTTGAATTGTTTCAACAGATTGTATTTATTATATTTTGATTTTTAAGATATTATTAATGACAAAAATAAAGTCAACATTTGAAATTATTTTAAGGATAATCAAATTATGATTTTTCTCTAATACTTTCAAAACAAATATGTATTTTTTTTAAAGAATTCGGAGGTTTTTTTTGTAATAATATCAATACAGAAAAACATAACACAACAAAAAGTGTTGGTGAAAAGAGGAAAAGCATCTTCAAAATCTGCCACTATTAGAACAGAGAATTTTAATCATTAGCTTCTATTCACCAGGGATACTGGAGTTAAAAGGCTGTCATATCTAATTAACATTTAGTTAGGAATACGGAAGGAATACACAATGGGCTTTCATAGCTGGCAGTCAAAATCCAGCTGGGAGAGGTGAAGCAATCCACTACTTAGAGGCAATCAAAACACTGTAATATATGACTAAGACATCTCACTAGTCATTTGTGCCAGCATGCCCTAATTGAAGGAAAGATCTACAGGAAACAGCAAATTAACCTTCTTCCATTATGCTATCCATAATAGAAATTCATTATATTTTATTGTATATATTATATATAAAAGATATCATACGTCATATCTTTTAAGATACTTCCTAGATCTCTAGTGTGACCTTGTGAGACATGAAACATATAATCATAAACTACTGCCTGAAGAACTGAAGCCATAGTTGTCATTTTATGCAGTTTCACTCCTTTTGTCAGGCAAAGAAATAGAAATAGTTTGGGTTTTTTTTTTTTCCAATTTCACTTTGTCCAGACTTTAATTCAGCTACAACCCAAAAAATTTTACAAAGCTGTTTATTTTGATATATGTAAACTTGACATACATACAAACCACTACAAAACAAAATTATCCTCTAGTAGAAAGGACATCCTTGGCTACAGAAAGCATACACCATCATAAATCTTAGGGGCCTATTTTGAGCTTTACATTTTTAAAATCAATGCTTATTAATAGTGCAGTTACTTACATTATCTTACCCTTTATTTGAGATCACTATTTCAAATAAAATAATAGAAGTTTAAGTATCACTATGCAAAATAAATCCAATACATACACTACACGGACTTACACCCCACAAAGAGACAGATGTTAAAATATAATTAAATATTGAGTAAATAAATTTAATTGAAACATCCTATGTTATTGAATATGTTTCTTATGGATGGATCTTTGTCACTGTATTATTATAAATAAAAAAAAAATGAACCCTGCAACCCCTGCCACTCCTGCAGCCCACTACTACAAAAAGTTTGCAACATAGTATATCTGCTAATATGCAATGGTGGTGACACCAGACACACACAGCAGATGTACTGCTGGTAAATTTTCCATTTCTTGCAATTAAAATTAATATTTCAAAACTACAGTTTGGAAATTTCTGAACTTTTTTTTTACATAATACATGTAATTGCAAGAAATTTCAAAACAATTCATTCACCGCCATGAATTTGTCAACAATGGCAATGAAAAAGAAGATAGCTCAAGTAAATTTGATTAAAATTTTTAACTTAAAAATTAAATAACTACTTTAATGAGAATGAAAGATAAATGCTTCCTATTTTTCTTAAAAGTGATATGATGGTGTTAAATAGTATATAAAAGCAATAAATCTGGATGGCCAGACTACTTTGTTTGAAACAAATACCTTTTGCCTTCTCATAGGGTGCTGAACTAAACTGCTCTGTCAGTGATCCAAACTTTAGTCAATAATAAGGAAACAGAAGTTACCAATCAACTAACACAACCTTAAAAGTGGGATAATTTACTTACATTTTAGGTGGGAGTAAATATCCAGTACCAACTTACCAAGCAGAGTTCATTTGTGACAGAGTAATTACTAAGTAACTGTAATATTGTACAGACTGCTACCACTGTATTTAGTGTACCAAACTCTATCAGCTTTCTTCTACAACTATATTTTTTGGAATTACAAATATAGATGCTTACCAAGATGGTGGTAACTATTAAAGAACGATTGGATAGAGAATCCGTGATGTTAGCTGGTTTTCCTTTCTGATTCTCTGTCATGTTAAGGCCACTCAGTGGATCCCAAGTTCCAACCTATAAAAACAGTATATTACTATGTAAATTGTCCATGAGTTACATTTCATCAGCTAGGAAATAACATGCTAACGAAAAACAAAACAAAACAAACAAAAAAAACATTTCTGAAAAAACAAACAAACAAACATTTTCTAGTACTTATTATTCAACCCTATTCCCTTATCTGTTGTCATTACATTTCTAAAATATGATTCATGATAATTCAGACTGTGTTTCTTAAAGTGTGACATTAAGGGGAAAAATGATGCACAGAATATCTACAGCCACTCTGAATACTTAATTTTCCACTTAACTTTCGTACTTCAAGATAAACCATATTTGAAAATAACTCAATAGTTTGGAGGAAATTGTGCAGAGCAGAGAGCATTGTCTCTACAGAATGATTTATCCTTTGCGCTCATCAAAGAGAACAGAGGGACAAAAAGATATCATGGCAAAAATGTCACAGGGAAGGATGAAAGGAGATTAGGTGCTATAATTTAACTCTTTTCCATATAAATGTTCAGTGCACAGATCTTTTGACATTTTCTACCCTGAATTTCTTATTCAAGTAAAGCCAATAGGATTTTTATCTAAGTTAGGACCCAGGATGATGTTTTAAGGTACAGGTCAAGGACAGTTTCACTTACTAGGCAGTAAGTCTTACATTCACATTATTCATGTCCAATTTCATCACTATAAAACTAAAGCAGACAATAAATTTTAGACATCAAAACTTTTGTATCACTCCCATGTAGAAAAGGAAAATTGACTTTTTCGTCTTTGAAAACATTTTGTCTATCGTTTAAAATACTGAGCAGTATCTACAACACAATGTAAATAAACTTTAAAACTGAATTCAACAATTCTGTAATTCAACATTTCCACAAAAGTTTTGGTTGTAAATATATATATGCATATATATACACACATACACATATGCATACATATATATGTGCTTATTTGTATATATATAAAGATAACAGGAATATACTTATTAAATCTTTCAAACTGATTCCTCAGCAACCATATTACAGCATACAGTCTGTCAAGTTCAGGATGTGATTCAGCATGGGTTGAATAGAGTTTCATCTCTTAAAACTGAGAACACAACAGAGCATGAATCAGCAGAAGCAGTAACAAAGAAAAGCTAAGTTTGCTTTCATTTTTACCACTTCCAGTTGCTCAGGAATATTTATCTTTCTTCCCTGCATAACTCTCATATTTGAGGCAAGACACCATTCCTTTGAGTGACTGTGATTCTAGAATTTTTGCCATTCATTACCTCTTATGTTGAAAAAAAGAACCATGAAGGGAATGCAGGGGAACAAATGAGTCCAAATACAATTGCAATATAACAAAACAAGGCATCTTCTCAAATCATTGAAACATAAGGTTACAATTAATAAACTTTTTCTTCATGTACTATTTTAGAATAATTTCATTTTGTGATTTGAAATGTTTATAGGAAAACCAAAATATGCAGATCTGAATTTTGGCCACAATTAAAAAATAGTAAAAGGATTGAAAACCTTCTGTTGCAATATTTTTTTAATTATAACAATCATAATTCAACTTTACCTCAGAAAAGCAAACATTATTAGTTAAAATATTTCCTTCCCTACTTTTATATACAAACAAATAATTATAAACTTTTAGTATTTGTGTTTTTATCTAACCCTAACTACAACCGTGTAGTTGAATAAGAACAATCAACTGCACAGTTTCAAAGAGGAGTTTGTGTCTTGTTAAATTACTGCATTGTTTTTCTAAATGAGTTTAAATGCAATTGCTTTACACGTGGTTTTTTGTTTTGTTTTGTTTTGTAAATTAAAAATGTAAGAAATGGAACAAAAGTACAATTTTCTCTAGAATACATCTTTCTTTTATTCTTAATGAACTCAGCAACTATGTCAGAGACTCTGGAATATGACTGATATTTATACCTGCCTAATTACACAAATATCTCCTAAAAGCTTCTCCTAGAGAAAACAGTGCATAAGAAGTGCAGTTAATTCATTTTTTCTTCTACTTGCTTAAACACAGTGTTTGAATTGTAAAGTATCTTTTTGAACAGAAAGAAGAGTTAATGCGCTTTCACTAGAAAACTGAGAGTACTTTAAAAGCCAAAAAATGTTGAAAAAGCAAATCAAGGTACTTTGTTACATGCAATTTCAATTCAAAAAACTTGCAATTTACTTCTACTGCCTTACCTGTACTTCTAACAAATTTTTAAGTTCTCCTAAAACGTGAAAGAAACTGATAAACTTATATGCAGTTTAGAGAGAACATTCACACCGTAAATACAGACACAGTGCTTTAGTTTCCCCTTTTATTTTTCAACATGGCAGGGCAAGAAAACTATTTTAAATGTTATCAAAATAAATGAAAAAGTGAGAAACCTGTATTCCCAGTTATGGCTAGACTATTTTGGAGTGAGTTTGTCAACTTGAAACTGCAAGATACATGTTATCCACAGCATGAACATGGGAACTTTTTTCCCTTTATGTATTATAAAAACATGGACAGAAATTTCCAGAATTGTGTTGCTGGCACTATTCTTGGTGTTTTGGTTTTTTTGTTTGTTTGCGTGGGTTTTTTTAGCTTGATGTTTATTTTTAATATTACAGTTTCCAGAAAAAAAAAAAAAATCCTCAAGAAATTTGAACTCTATCAATAAAGTTGCATCATCTGACCTAAGACAATGGTAGCAAGATAACATAGCTTCTTCCTATAACTGAATGAAACAAGTCCTAAATTTGTAACCCCAGTGAAAAATACATATTTGTATTCTATAATACTACATCTTATTAATAGTAAATTAAAAGTAAATCAGCTTTCATTTCCTCTCATTTCTTTCATTTTCTTATGACGAAGCTTCAGCTTTAACATTGTTTTCCCATAACATCCAAAAGTACAGCATCTTCATGATAATGTAGAAGCAGATATTGAGATAGACTAAGATAGTCATTACCATAAGTAAATAACATGGAAGAAATAAGAAATACATACTTCAAATCTGAATGTAGTGTCTTTTATATATATAGATATTATATATATATATATTATATTTGCTTAATATATATTTATAATATTACCTGTTTCTACTTACCTGTTACTACAAAGACACTATCCTTTTATACTGCAATAAGCAGATTGTCTGGGAATATTATAGAGGAATACTGCACTACACTTGCCACTTTTTATATAATTCTCTATTCTCTGCAGCTGCTCACTGCAGATACAGAATATTAAACTAGATAAGCTCAGAGATTTTTTTTATCATGCTCCACAAGAAAAGGATGTAATGTACTTTTTTGAGTATATCTCAGGTTTCCAAGTGGTCAGTCAATTGTATACCACTTTTAAAAATCTCTTAAACAACCTTCACAATATTTAAATAATACTTCAGAAGTACAAACAATGTCAGAACTAAATCTAAAAAAAAATTAATCAAGTGTTTCAAGATAGTAATTATCCAAGGAAAAATTCAGCAAGTAATGAAAAGAAGTCTGGCTAATATTCCCACAACTTTAATTATCTTCTGTGCGTATGTATTCAAGTATTTTGTACGCTGCCTCAAAGAACAATAAAAAAATGAAGTTAATAAAATTTTACTTATTTCCACAAATATTTAATACTAAAATATAATTGACATTATTTGTACAGGAATACAAAAAAATGAAAATAGTAGGCCTGATAAAACAGACCGAATAGTCATTCAAGTCCTGATTACTGAATGCTGCAACAGTTAATTTGTACAATAAAATTTTAATAGATTCATATAGTGGAATAATTAACGATAATTATGATGCATTCTTGAACATTAGAAGGAAGAGTGCTGAATACAGTAATTTTTCACTTAAAATTTGTACAGTCTGCTTAGCAACATGGCAGGAATTTGAAAAGAAATTTTGGACTATATTGGACTTCAACCCAAACTTTCTAGTCTCTACTGGAAATAATAATTGGAATTTTGTTAGGTTTATCTATCAGAACAACAACATAAACTTTGTCAATCTTTTTCAAATTTCTCACCTTTTCAAGGTTATTGGTCATTTACATTATACTTTTTCAAGTTGATTTTTAAGAGAAAGCATACATGCAATTTAAAAGGCATATTCAGAGTCAAGAGTTTTTACAGTATCTAGTGTGAATGCAGCTAAGTTCCTGAATTACACTTCCATACAAATAAAAATCTCGCAAGTGATTACTTAGATAGTTAGGTAAGGTTAACAGTATTTTTAAAAGTGGTAGCTTCCTTTTATCTGAGTAACTTTCACAGATACTTCATGATGCTAGTTTATATTCTATAGTATTTTTAAATAAAAATGAAATCTGCCATTCAGTAAAAAAAGCCTTTCCTAATTATACCAATCATAATTCAACAAGTTATTTATGAAAAATATGAAATTTTTTATTCTTTCAATTGCAATGTAGGGAATAGACTTCTTTAGTAAAGCTCAGACTTTCTTCAAAGCTACTATCCTTACCAAGACTAATGCAATGTAATTCATCACAATAACAAATAAGAAGCACTGTACGCTCCTGAAATTTAAATTCTCTGAGTTTACATATTCTCCAGACTAGCTTAATGAATATCATAGAATCATAGAATGGTTTGAGTTGGAAGAGAACTTTAAGATCATCTAGTTCCAACCTCCCTTCTACAGGTAGGGACACCTCTCACTAGATCAGGTTGCTCCAAGCCCCATCCAGCCTGGCCTTGAATGCCTCCACTGTGGGGGCATTCAAAACCTCTGTGGGCAACCTGTTCCAGTGTCCCACCACTCTCACAGTAAAGAATATCTTACTAATATCTAGCCTAACCCTAACCCTAACCCTCTTTCAAGTTTAAAGCCATTTCCCTTCATCCTGTTTTTACATGACCTTACAGAAAGCCCCTCCCCAGCTTTTCTGTAGGACCCCGTCAGGTACTGGAAAGCCACTATAAGGTCCCCTTGGAGCCTTCTCTTCTTCAGGCTGAAAAGCTCCAGTTCTTTCAGCCTGTCCTCATGGGGTGTAGGAGGCAATGCTACAATGGGTTGGTGGTCCAGTCTTCTGATAATCTTCGTGGTCCTCTTCTGGACCCAGTTCAACAGCTCAATGTCCTTCTTGTGTTGGGAGCGCCAGATCTGGGTGCAGTACTCCAGGTGGAGTCTCACAAGAGCAAAATACAGGGGCAGAATCATCTGCTGGTTATACTTCTCCCGACACAACCTAGGATACAGTTGGCCTCTGGGGTTGAAAGCATACACTGCCAGCTCACATTGAGACTTTTATTAGCTGATACTCTCAAATCCTTCTCAGGGCTGCTCTCAAGCCATTCTCCAAACAGTTTGTATTTATGCTTGGGATTGCCCTGATCCAGGTGCAGGACCTTGCTCTTGGCCTGGTTGAACTTAATGAGTTTGATATGGGCCCACCTCTCAAGCAGGTTTAGGTTCCTCTTAATGGCATCCCTTCCCTCTACATGTCAACTGCACCACTCAGCTTGGCGTCTTCTGCAAACTTACTGAGGTACACTCAATCCTGCTGTCCATGTCGCCTACAAAGCTGTTAAATAGCATTAGATCAAGCACTGAATCCTGAGGAATGTCAATAATCACCAGTCTCCACTTTGACACTGAGATGTTGACTGCAACTTTCTGAGTGTAACTGTCCAGCCAATCTCTTTTCCAGAGAGTGGTCCATCCATCAGATCCATTTTTTTCCAATTTTACAACTGGCATGTCGTGCTGGGTGGAGTCAAACATTTTGCACAATTCCAGGTAGATGATGTCAGTTGCTGTTCCTTTATCTGCTGACATTCTAACTCCATCATGAAAGGCCATCAAGTTTATCAGGCATGACTTGAACTTGGTAAAGCCATGTTAGTTACTACCAATTACCTCATCTTTATTTTCCATGTGCCTTACCAGGGTCTTCAGGAGGATCTACTCATGACTTTGACAGGCATTGGTCAAAATTTGATGGTCTGTAGTTTCCTGGATCTCTTTTTCTTTTCTTGAGAAAGGTGTTATGTTTCCCTTTTTCCAGTCAGTGGGAGCCACACCAGACTGCCATGACCTTCCAAATATGATGGATTATGGCTTGGCAACTTAATCTGCCAGTTCCCTCAAAACCCATTGATGGATCTTGTCAGGTCCCATGGACTAATCTTCAAATTAAATGCATTAATTAAATTAGATTGTCTGAAGTATGATAGTTTTACAGTATAGAATAATTTTCTTCACAATGCAGCTTCAGTGTAAATACTAATTACAATTGCAAATATATATAACTGATATTTGATTATCGCCCCTCATTTAAGAGTTTCATGAGAACAGGTATCTCATGTACAAATTAAGTTCACACAAGCCATTTATTTAATGTGAGGAGTGAATTTTCTGTTATCACTGACTTCAGAATGAGTAGTTTTTACACTTAACGTACATGATTTAGATAACTTGTCATGTGTCTCGCTCCAATTTATAGGAGGGAGAGGAGGTTCTTTGATATACGTATACCCAGCATGAGATTAAGAAGCAACAGTTCATATGTTGTTCCAACCAGTTTATTACAAATCTTGATCAGAGAGATGGGGAAGGGGAGAACAGTGACTATTATGAATTAGGGTGACGGGGAAAGGAAGGCGGGAGATAGAAATATAGGAAAGAAGCAAGAATTGTTTAAACCAGGAATAATCACCACCAGGTCTCGTTGCATGCCATCCCAATGGTCCAAGGCAAAACCACAGGGGGAGAGCAGCAGCAGTGTGGCCGGCCTTCAGCAGCAAGCAGGTAGCAGGAAGAAGCCTCAGGGTAAGTCCAGGAGGAAGCAGCAGGTCTCAGGTAGCAGGCCCAGGAGAGTCGGTCAGCATGCAGGCATCAGCTCACGAAGCTTCTGATATCAGACACCTCTTCTTCTTCAGCATGCAGGCCTCAGGTCATGAGAAATCTGTTGTCAGAAAACCTAACCTCATGGTTGTTTTGTTGGTCCCTTTTTTTTATCCTTCTTCTGCCAATGTGGCATTCCTGGGAGATTAAGAGTCATCTGCAGCACCCCTTGAGGTGGCCATCTTCCTCGAGATAAGCCCACACAAAAGACAGCTTCCCGGCCATTAGTCTGCAGCTTATCTCTCTCTCATTCCCCCTGGCCTTGTCCATCTGTGTGATTTCTCAATTCTTGCCCAGGATTTGCTTGGACTTGTTCATCTGTGTCCTCGGTAAGTTTTGAGACAATGATGTAAAAGAATAGTCTCTTACACCATGGCAGGAAGGAGGGGAAAGGGGAGAGGGGGAGAAGACTGGAGGAGGGGAAAAAGAAGGAAAGTTAAGAGATAAAGGGAGGAAAAGAGAGAGAAGGAGGCAGGGAGAGAAGGAATCAGTAGGAGAGCAGAAAGTTATGCATATGATGGAGAGAGATAGAATGCACAAAGTGAAGTGAAGGATGGAGGGGAGGGAGGGGTGGAAGAGCAGTAAGTAAGGAAGATTCAGCTTAGCTTTACCTGGAAGACAATATAGGAAAGAAAAACAAAGAACTCATTCAAAATGAAAGGACTTGAAAAAATATATTCTCTCTCCTTGGAAGTGTCATATTCTGGGGTTTAAAGATTCCACCTGGAACCAAGGAAAATAGAGTTCCTGCTCTTTTAGAATAAACAGTATTCCTTCAAAAACATTTTTTTAGTTCAACATTGTTTTCTCTTTCTCAGTAAAATAAATTACAGAACCCAGATGTAAATTGTTCAAGGTAACAGACATATAGCTTAATTTTCCTAATCACTTCTCTCTACACAAACTGTCTTCTTTTCATTCATATGTTTTGTTGGATGTGTAGCATTCTTCAGTGTTCTTTGGTAACAGTTTCCCAGCTCCCAAACTTTTCTAATGCATGGTGACTAATCCTTACTGTTTGTTCTAAATATTCTGTTGAAGAATACTATCAGATTCCTTTAAAGACAAAATGCACAGTGAAGGCACCAAAAGTATCTTCCAATACTCTGAATTTCTATACATACTGATGAAGGACACACTGGCTGTTTTAAAACATCCATATCCTTTTACAGCTATTTCTGTTATTGTCTCTCACATACCGGTCATTATTATTGTTTCCCAGTTTCTTTTTTTTTCTTTTCTGTTCTAGAATACAGCATTTTCTGTTGAATTTCATTTTCTTCACATACTTCTAATCTCTAGATTTTTCTGTTTTACTTCAATATTTTTCAGTTGTGTACATATCTTATAATATACTGTCAGCTGAGAATTAAATCAACATGTTTTTATGTTTCTGCCTTCATATTAGTATTTAAGGTGAAATATCAACAGGCATTACACAGACCCAGATGGAAGATACCGTTGCTTTAGCCCACTACACATCCATTATGCATTACTTTACACCGGTGTTCTCTCAGGAAATTTCCAGTCTGCGTACTTTATAACAAAAACTTGTTAACACAGTCAACCCTTTGTTTTTTAAAAAGGTTGTGAAGCAATATCAGATACGTCACTGAAATGCAAATATATTAATTTTCCACTTATTTAATTTGCTTTGTATTTGTACCAGAAAAGAAATTGAACTCACTATGAAGAAAACCCATGGTGCTGGATGGTTCCCAAATGACCTTTAATGTCCTTATAGCCATCTTACTTTTCTTTTCTTCCTTTTCTTATTCTAATTTTCTACTTACAGGCAGACTCTCTGGCCACTACTGCCGTATTTAGCTGTTCCCATGACATCAATTCTTTTATTTTTGTTTCCAGGAAAAAAGACAGTTTGCACTGTACCTATGGTACTGCTATACAAAGCAAACTTGCTTTGCAGATTTAGTGACAACTATACCTTGAGAGCTCCCTTAATGGAGTATATGATGGTAAGGCTATTCACTATCCTGGTACTGCTTCATATTTTAAAATATAAATTAGTCCTTTAACCATAGGTATGCCACTGGACCTTTTTGAAAATCCTCATGTCTATTTAATAGTTCCAAAGCAAGTTAATAGCTTATAAACTTCTTTGAAATATTCCTAGTCAGAGAACATTAATATCTCAAAGCTGACATTAGAGAAAAAGGTTCTGGAAAAATATGTTCTCCATTCAGCTATTTACAGAAAGTAAGTAAGCAAACAAATAAATAAAAAAAAAAGAAAAAATAAAGTAAATAAACTCTGCAGCAGGATGAGTTCCCTCAATTCCTCTTTTTACTTTTCAAGACAATATTACCTTGGAGCAATACCAAATAAAACTTCATCTGAAGATGAGGGAAAACAATGTTAACAAAACACAGTAGCTAATAACTAAACACTGATTATATACTAAATACAAACATTGTCCTGCAGATGTAAGCTGCAAAATACTTGTTTGAATTATTTTGTTTTCTTCTACTCACTTGGACACCTGTTTTGTAAGAATGATATAACTAACATGCGCTTAGATGCTAAGATGAAAATTCAAACGTTTGTCATTTCAATAGTACTGAAACCCAGCAAATAAAACATTACATTAAAAAAAAATCCAAACAGATCTCACAAAAATACTTAACTTGTCAGAACTAAAGTTTCAGCTGTACTGTCTTCTTCTAAGGAAAATAAAACAAAACCATACATATATAAAGTCTTGTGCCAAGGCTATTTTTGAAATACACTTTCAAAACCACATATATTTTATTCCCATAAAAAATTTCATTTTGCTGTAGATGTTTTGCTTTTTATTCAGGGGGAAAAAAAAGTTACTTTTGTGATTTTTTTTTCTGGGGGGAAGTAGGTTTTTGCTTCATGTGTTATATCACTTCAGAGGTAGACATCTTACACACCTTTTCAAGACCTTCTTCCTTGAGGCTTATAACATCTAAATCAAAATCTGTCCTTAAGCCATTGGATTTGTTGAAAGTTATCCTTCCTGTGAGGCCTTCCCAGTGAGCCTATAGAGAAAGAAAAAAATAAAAATAAAAAAGATGATTTCTATAAATAAATATCTCTTTCTTTATTTTCCCAAAAAGAAAAATCTTACTTCTAACAAAGTGAGAATATTATTTATTCTATCTCAGTATTTCAACTTGTTTTTTTTTTTTAATATTTTATATTCTCTTTTTGCTAACTAAGCTTTCTTTAATCTTCAAAAATATTTTTTAAACCACTTTCCATGCTATCCAATAAACTTTATACTAAAAGTAATAACAAGCTTGTTCTTTTCATTTTTCCAATATTCATATATGCATTTTCACTTCTTTTTCCCATCCCAACGCTTTCCATGAACTCTGGATTTTATTATTCTATTAGGACATTTCCTTCAAACAAGGGCTTACTTTTACAAGATGCTGAGTCCTCTGAGACCACACTGAGACAGTAAAAACTGACGTCTCCCAGAGCCAATTCCTTATTTTAAATGAAATGCAATATCCTATTTTTTAATTATTTAAAGTTAGCCTGATTCTTAAACTATGTTAAATGAGGATATGCAAATGATAAAGCTTTCATCTTAAAACCAATTTAGGTTAAAAAGATGATTATATTCCGTTGCACATATTTATCACAGTATTTTGTATATGAAGAATGAGAAACAAGCAGTTATTTATAGCACAAGATGTTACAAATATTAGTTCATTACAACAAAAGAAGTAAAAATTAAAACAAGGTAGTAAACTTCCTTCTTAGTCCCTTTGTATTTACGCCAGTGTTTAGCCGCTGAATTTTTAATTGCTAGTCAAAAGCTGAGGGTCACAGGGGGTATTTTTCTAATGCCACAGAAATGCGCTAAAAATACCCTAGTATGTAGAAGCAGTCATTTCACTCTTTTTTGTTTCTCCTCATTGTATGCTTTGCTGCAAATAAAAGCTCAGGAAAACCTGTTTGCAAATGAAGATGCTTGTCTTGTCAATTTATTTATGTATACATGTAACAGGCTTAGAAGAGCCTCATCCACTCAGGAAAAAAAAACAAAAAAAAACCACCATCACTACCACCACCAACAGAAAAAGTAGAATTCCAGTGGGATTAAAACAAAAAGAAATGGAGATCGGAAGAAAGGAAAGTAAGGAAGCAGGATATATCTTATTAGTGACTCACCTCCTTAATGAGACTCATAAAGCGGGTCCCAAAGCGCCATGGCTTGTGGCGATTACACTGTAGTGAACTGACAGTCATCTGTGGGAACTGCTGGACAGCCACTGACACCACATGAACTGCATCATACATTAGAGCTGCATCCGTCTGAAATTAGAATGAAATCAGTACCATGAACTTAAAATGAAAACAACTGATGTCCCCGTGGTGAGAGAAGAGGCAAAAAAATTTAGTACTTCTCCTTACACTAGAGGGAGAAAATAATCTGATTGCTTGTGTAGCACTGCGTAACACAGCCTTGCTGCCAAGTCCCACCGATGCATCTGGACCTTTAATTTCAGCTTTTCTCTTTTTAATATTCAAATATCAAGTTTTTAGGATCACAGTATGACACCATTACCACTGATGACTCACATGATCTTTAAAAAAGCAGTGCTTTAGGGGCCTATAAATGCATGTTTGGCTCAAGACAGTTATTTCTATGAGTGAGAAGAAAGAAAAGCAGATAGGCAAAGTAGCAAAAGCCTGATTATGAGAGAAAATTCCAAGGCCTAAGGAAATAATGTTTTTCTAATTGGAATTACAGACTAAATACTGTCCCAAAGGCATTCAGCTGATTCATTTGTAACTGTTTATAGGCATTGTTTCAAATCCCTAGAGTGGACCTAATCAATATCTCCTAAAAAAAACAGTGGCAAATTAGAACTGCATTAAATTGCATGTTCATTTAATTGTTTTCAGTCCCATGATAAATAAATGGACTGTTTAGATGTAGCATGTACTAACTGCTGTTGTATTACCAAAGGATAGAGACAACCTCCCAGTACATACTGTCGTGTAAAGAAACTGACTTCTCTTTTCTTCTTCTGTTTGATAAACAGAGACAAGCCTTGGAACCAAAAGAGAAGACCTTAGATTCACTAGTAGAAATGAATGCTCTGCCATCTGCTCAACATACCTTAGAGAAAAGGGACTTATTTCCCCTTCTCATTCACATAATTAGTGAGCTGTGAAATGAGTTCTTTAATGGACAGGAAACCTGAGGATTACTGCACTTGTCACAATAGAATACAATGCAAAACAAAATGAGCTTATATAGTGCCTTTCATGGAAATGCATCCCAAGGCTCTTTACAATAAAATTAAACATAAAAATGCAAAAATGCTCTACCATTATAGCCCATAAGGCTACTGTTAAAGGGGAAAATATGCGTTTACATGTAAATGGCTCTGCCAAGAAGAGATCTCAAAATTCAAATAGAAATAAATCCTTATTTTAAATAGCTAATATAATAGGTTTCAATGATCTGAGACACCAAACAGCTGATGTAGACACTCCAAATCAGTACGAAAATATTTTTTTCTGCCAAATTGTTCATCATCTTTAAGACAATAAAGTGTTTTTAAGGCAAGCTAATATCTGACAAGGAGACAGTGAAACTCCCAAAAGCAAGAATGACATGCTGACTAAGCATCATACAAAGTTCAATATTCTAGCACTTTGCAGAAGTTGGAGTCTTGACAAAAGATTTTAAGATAAACTATAAAAGTTCAACACATTAATCTGGCTCAGAAATGCAAGCAGTATGTTTGGAGCTTGTTTCATTATTATGGTTTTATCAGTTTTAATTCTAAACGTGTAGACCTTGCACCAATGAAGGGAAATTGAAATTGCTGTGAAACTTTTGCAGAAGCAGCCTATTAAGAAGCAACCAGAAGTTCAAAAAAAGCATTACCTGATGGCTTTTTGTCAAATTCTGTAAGCCACTGAGCTTGAAGTCTGACGGACAGTCAAATCCAGTGGAAACAATAAAAAAGCCATTGAAATTATGAAAGTAATTTGAATTCTCTTAATATTCTTTATTCTCAACTGATAAGTATTATTCAGTGAAAATAAATCTAAATCAGAATGCACTCTTTTAGATGCATACAACGTAAAATAATCCTGGTTAGAAGTTGAGTGTCCAATTTGATTTTTAAATGCTACAAGATAAATTCATTGTTTACACAGGCTGAGATTCCTCAGTCCACCTTGTATAGGTAACATTAATGTTAAATGGGGATTTTAATGTTTTTATTGCATGAAGATAGACTCATATGCTGGAAACTATTGGTTTAGTGATTCAATATCATGCTCACCTCTCTGAGTGCAATAACTGATTTTATTGAATGAGAAACAAACACTACAGGGCTCAGAAAAAGATATGAAATATATGCCTGAATTGTCAAGTTGAACTATTCTCTTTTAGGTCACTTTATCTTTCATCTGCGACAAAAGGAATTGGTAGCAATTAGTCTAGCTCTCCAATTTCATTTGTTAGGCCTGCTAAGCTTTTTTTGCCTCTCATTGCCATTTGTCCATGAATCTTTATTTGTCTTCATTGCACTACTGAAAGGATGTTTTGTGGTTCAGAAAGCACTGCAGATTTCAGCAAGAAACTTGTCCAGAATTTGAGAGAAAATATACCCAGTTACTTTTTTAGCATTCTTTATCTTATCTAAACACTGATTGACAGTCTGGAAGAAGAAGAGAAAATAAAGTTCATGAGAAGGAATGGTTCTTGAACTTCAGATAAGACCCTACAACATTTCCATTCACTGAAGCAGTGAATTCATAATAGAAGATAATCTTACTGAAAAGTAAGATGAGTACTTTTAAGTTAACTTGTATAAACTTTTTAAAGATTATGTTGTATTGCACAAACATATCTTGGTTCAGTTTTTTAAAATGTGTTTGTTTTCTTTGTTGTTGTTGTTTTAAAACTTCACAGTATGTATTACTAATGGCTTATTTAAATATAAATAATGCATTAAAAATACTTCTCATGACACTTTCACTTGCATGTCTACAACTACAAAAGAAAAAATCCAAAGTACAGATGGTACAAATATCTATCAAATTGAAATAGTATGAGATAAAGCTGATAAAATTTAAAATGACTTGAAGTCTTTCAGCTGAGTCAATGAAGTAACAAAAAAGCTGTTAGCACTCGGAGACAACAGCTTAATTAGAGAAGTGAGCTCAGTCGGAGTACCTCAAATAGAGAGAAAGTACCAACACCTGTGTTTAATTTTTTATCCCAAAATCAGCTGTATACTACACATTCCTTCTCTACGTTCTGTCATTCTTTTACAGCCTTACTGCAGGTGTTGTGTTTGTCTGCACTATTTACTTGCAAGTCCTACTTGCTAAATATTGTCTAATCTCACTATGGAAGAGCTCTGGTGGGGACAAGACACTACTATTTCTCCCCATGCCTTCTCAGATTAAGAGGTAGAATCCCAATCAAAGATGCCATGGGCACTTTCTAAACTCCAGTAGATTAATGCAGAAACATTTCACATAATCCTAGACAACATCTTTGTCTCTAAATTGAAGAAAGATGGCTGTGATGGATGGACCATTAATAAACTAAATAACTGAACTTTGAAACTCCTCTTAGAACAAAATTTAGATACAACTGTACTATAAAACAACTGAAACTCTAGACAGTCTAAGACTGGATTTTCCACACAAACAATTTGAAATGATTAAGAAGGAATGTCAAACAATATTTTTTCATCAAAGAAAAAAAATAAGAAAACGCATATTAAATATATACGTACACATATATTCTATAGCTCTGTTGACAGGTCCTGTCCTGTCACAAAATAGAGATCTTAATCTGTATTTATCAGCAACCAGTTACAAATGTAGTAACAAGTCACAAATGCATTGTAGATTAAATAAATCAAGTTTTTATGCAAAGACAAATACGAAACTGTTCTTTTCAAAACAAATCTGAAATTAAAAGAATATTTAGAATATATTCTGAATTTACTCTTTGGTCAGTTTTATTTTCAACTAAATCAACTCAGTAAAAATGGCAGTATATGGACTTGTACACCTCACTTGAAATAGTGTATCACTTAAGCCCAGATTTTTCAACTGATTACTGATATATGCGTATGCTATTTGCATGTTATCTTTACCTGCCATTATCTAATTAAAGACTACTACAATAAGCTTGATATCTTGTTCATACTGACTGTGATCACTGGTTTAACAAAGTGTTAATATGCTTATTTCATAGTGTGGCAAGAGTCTCTCATTGATCTTGTATTTATGGCACTTACACTTGCCAAGCTTTAGAATATGAGAATGTCGCATCTTCATTTGGCAAGGGGAATGTAAATATCCAAAGGTAGGTTCCTGGAGGATTGATTTTTGCATCGTCCCTTACAAACAGTGTTTTCTTACGCAACAACAATGCCTTGGATAAAACACTATGTGCAAGGTCACGTTTTGTTTTTCAACTCCCAGTGTGTATCAAGACTATTTGTAGTTGACTTTATGAGTGACAGAGATTAGGATGGTAAGAACAGCTTTGGTCTAAATAGCCTTAGAATTGAACGTATAATGGAGACAGAACAGCATATCTTCCCTCTCTGGTCTGGCCTTTTTGTAGAAGATAATATTATTTCAGACGCACTGTGCAATAAGGATTCGCAATGGCATACTTATTCATTTCAGTGCACACAAAAAAATCCGACAGTTAACCTCTGTATCTTGCTAAGTAATCCTCATTTTGTAATTACTTCTCTCAGCTGTCCTTGCTGTCCAGTAATTTAACAAATATAAAATTATTCATTAGAAAATTTAGAATAAATGATTGAGCAGAAAACAAACAAAATGTCCTTTTTTTGCTTAGTGTATTGAATCCACCACCCACCTTCTTTTTTCCCATATAAGTCCTATTTTCTAGATTATTTTGATTATGATAAGGGTGAACAGAAATAAGCCTCTAGTAATTTTTTCTTATTTCACAAAGTAACCCACAATGATAAACATCTTTTTAAAAAGTCAGAAATAAATTTTTATATAATTATATACTACATGTATAGAATATACATATAATCAAAAATACGAGAAAAATCTGCTTGCTGAGTTTTTTTTTGAAACAAAACAGTGGGCATGAGAACAGTGAGGCAGTGAGAGATATGTTTCAGCAGGGGTGATAGTGGGTCATCTCCACTGATGCAGACATTTACCAGTGGAACTTGCAGGCTCTTGTTCATTGCTGGTGAAAATGCACAGCTTATGGAGGTGAATACATTGCAAAAGGGTGTTTTGTAGCAGAGAATTTGCTCTATCGAATAAAGTTATTG